AAAACAGTGAGCTTAATATGTAAGTGAAAAACTGAACCTCTTAACAATTACTTTTCATGAGAGAAAATTCTGCTTCATGAGCACCCTGACAATATGCCCCAAAGCAGAATGCAAGGCACTGTAAAGATTACCTTACTGCATGTGGTGCAGGGGCCAATTACACCATTTTTTCCCTCTAAATGTTGAATTGCATCTCAGATAGGATAGCTGTGTACTGACCTGCACATGGTGCACTGCAAGGATCCCCAAGGACCCTTAGGAATTGTTGATCACTGACAGCAGTCAAACAGGCTGGTGGCCAGAACAGCATCTTGCACCACAAGTTCACCAGGATGTAGGGATGGACAAAGACCAACCTGCCGCATGGTAGTCCATCCCAAGGAGGGAGTGTGCTTGGCTAGGCCTGTTCCCTCCCCAGGAGTGATCTCTTCCATTCTAGATTTAACATTATGGCACTGGTATGCCTACTTTTAACATGTGCACTGATGGTATCCTGGCTCCTGCAATGATGGGGCTGGGAACCTCCTTCTGCCATTTGTCATTGTTAGAATCAGCATTATGTCTTTAACAGCACATCTCTGGTCTGCTTATTTATGGAGATTCACAGGTTAACAAGATTCAAGACTATTTATTACTTTAAAAATAATAATAGTGATGACTCCCCAGTGCTAATTTCTGGGCACCTAATAAAATCACAGCAGCCTGGTATTGCAGGGGTGAAGGGCACTGTTAAATTGCACGAGCTCAAGGCCCCTTATTGGACACAGCCTAAATGACTGTGGCGAGAGCACTGCCTAGGCAGAGCCCTAGGGCAGATCAACAGTTGAAAAAGTAGGTTTGACACCACCTTTGCTCTGCATCCTGTGATTTTGGGGTATTTTGCTGGTGTGAAACAACCAGCATATACTCAGACAAGATCCTAGCTCTTTACACGTGAAGCCAGATTTGAGCTAATGATGAAAACCCAACTACCTGCCCATAACCTTATGTTTGAAAATGTGACTGCAGAATTGATGCGTGTAGCTATGTAAGTGTATTTCAAAAATACAAGAATTTGAAATGTCCTCCTTAAGTACAGCAAGAGTCCTACAGTTAAGAGATCTTGGTTTAGAGGAGGAGGGTTGATTAGAAATAATAATAAATTCTGTAGAATATGTGGCCATGCCACATTCAATCTGGTAAACCTCTTATGTCTCACAACCCGATCACGAATTTTCTGTGTCAGTGGGTGTGTAATCACTCTTAATACAATGATTTACAGTTTGTGTGCAGACAACAGATAGATACACTCAAATTAGTAAGAACTATCCAGAAAATGTTATATTTGTAATTAAATAACATTCCAACATTGTACGTGCAGTGAGACGAAAATCTGTTAGAAGTCAGGAAAATGTAGCAGTAATTTTCATCTGAAAATCTGTATCATTAAGGAATTGTCCAAGATTAGACCCCTACAAGCATTAGCTTGTGAACACTGGGGAAAAAAAAAAAAAGAGCAACAGCTTTAAGCATTAATGTGGTTAATCCCACAGCGTAGCACTTGGTTAGAGTCAGGATTTGGAATTATAGCTCAAATGGTGATATTTCAAGGGGAAGGTCAGTTTGAATCAGTGATAATACTTTGCGTTTTTGCAGTGCCTTCCGAATAAGAACCTCAGAGGGGTTTATAGACATTAGTGAATTAAGGTTCTCAGATCTCTGCCAAGACTGCAGTTTTATCCCTGTTGTATAGAGGGGGAAAACCGAGTCATGAAGAATTTAAGTGGCCCTGCTGAAACAGCAAAGGGTGGTGTTGTGCAGGGCGCTCCTTGATCTGTACAGCTCTGTAGGGAAGCATGGGCACGACTGTGAGGAGCAGGGTGTGCCACTGGCCACAGCAGGGATATGGTAAAGGGGAACCTCAGGAGGATGAGTTTGGCACTGGTGTTTTGTGGATAAAAGCAGTTTCCTTCATCTTTTATCCTGAGATGTGTTTTACTGAAACTCCTCAACATGGACTTCTTACAGCTCTTCCCATTCACAATGGCTGAGCTGTTCCATCCTGCTCTTTGTCTTGGAAGAGCCCACTTAACTTTTCAGCAATTATTTCTCAAAGAGATCTCTAACTATTGGAATTTGGTGGAAGACAGGTTTTCTCCCCCTTTTTTCTTCTCCAGATGGAATTCTTTGCTGGATAGGTGTGCTGTTCTTACACAGCAGGAGGCAGGTATAGGAACTGAGGACAGCAAGAAGCATCCTGCCTCAGAGCTCCATATTTCATTTTGGATAGTGCTTCCAGTATGTGGCTTACAACACAACTTATTGTTCAGATTGAGACTCAATTGAAATCAATTGCTAATTAAATTTATGTCTAAATTAGTCGATCACAACTATTCAGATCATGTTTATATGAATAATTTCCATTAAGGTGAACATAATTATTAGATTCCATATTTAATGAACTATATTGTTTAATAAGGCCAGCAGGACGAGGGCAGTGATTGTCCCTCTGTACGTGGTACTGATGAGGTTGTACCTTGAATACTGTGCTCAGTTCTGGGCCCGTCATTACAAGTGACATTGAGGTGCTGGAGCACGTCCAGAGATGGACAATGAAGCTGAAAAAAGTTCTAGATCACAAGTTTTAGGAGGAAAGGCTGAGGTAGCTGGGATTGATTAGCCAGGAGAAAAGGGAGCTCGAGGTGGGGTGGGTCTTTATTCTCTTTACAACTATCTGAAAGAAGGTTGTAACAAGGTGGGGGTCACTCTCTTCTCCCTAGTAACAAGTGATAGCATGAGAGAAAATGACCACAAGTTGCACCAGGGGAGGTTTAGATTAGATATTAGGAAAAATTTCTCCATGGAAATGGTGGTCAGGTATCGGAACAGGCTGCTTGGGGAAGTAGTGGAGTCATCATCCCCGAAGGTATTTAAAAACCATATCAATCTGGCACTTAGGAACATGGTTTAGTGGTGGACTTGGTGTTAGGCTAATGGTTGGACTCAATGATCTTAGAGTTTTTTTCCGATCTAAACAATTCTATGAAATTCTTGTGACAATGGGGACTAACAGAACATGTTAACCTTTATTCACCCCAGCTTGACACAACATTAGACCATGAATTAATATGTAAGTGCCTAGAAGAGTTTCATAATTAAGTTGGCATTGTGATTCCTTTGGGCCTGTCAACTGAGTGACTTATCCCAGGCCCTTTCTTTGGAAGGCAAATCAACAAAGGTCTGTGAAATGCGAACGGGGTGTTCTGCTCTTTGTTGTGCCTCTGCCTCTGCAAGTAGAGTTATGGACAGTTTGTGTGCACATTGGTGAGATTCAATTACATGCGTTACCTCCCATAAACACTTTAGCTACACCTCCTTCTTCCCTTCCCCCTGCCACAAACTTGAAAGAATGAAGAACTGGGATCTTCCAGTCTCCGTTGTTCTTAAATATATGTAAGTCCTAAAAATTACTGCATGCTAAAAAGATACTGTCCAGAAGTGCATGTATGCAGATGTGCTGTCACAAGTAAATTCCTACATTAACTACTTTGCCTATTTTGCCACTTACATTGCTGAGAATAAAGCCTGGAAACAGTTTCCCTTTGTCAGGCAAGAAGGCAAAAAAAAAAAAGCAATAGCTAAGAGGGAACCCAGCAGATTCAAGTCCTCCAAATGCTTTTCAAATAGATTTAGAGGGAAGGGAAAGGCTGGCATGCTGGAAGCCAGGTCCCTATGATACACAGCTCTGTGGTATCCCATGGGCCCAATGACTAGAGTTTAACTCCATGCAGCCCCATGGAAAGATTTTAAAACCTCCATGTCACGTACTAAGGGAGTTTGATTATGGACTTTAATGTGTCTTGTTCCACTCTGAGGAATGTAATCCCTGGCACTGAATAACTAAAAGACATTTGGTAACTACAAAGGTATTTCCAAATGGAAATCTTTATGTTCTGGAAAAAAACAATACGGCAACAACAAAAAATGATGAAGAAAATGAAGTAAAACCACTGCAGCTTAGAAAATGGGACCTATGAGTTCATTTAACTTGATCCACTTGATCAACTTACATTATGCCTGTGTGGCATGCCCCGGTTTCCATCTTGTACATTGGATTCCCATGTGTAATGTTATCTGCTAGGACCTGCCTTTCTCAAAATTTAAAGAGGTTTCCATAAGACCTTCCATCAAATGCCGTTGCTCCTCGTATTTTAAATAACAACAAGGTGGGACAGGACAGGCCCATGTTTATAGCTGGAGAAGCAAAGATTTAAGAGATTGGCCAAGGGTAATAGAAATTTAACTGAGAGGTAAATAACTGAGGATCTAGGGAAATGTTCTCCAGTGGTCTCCTTTACAGAATGTAAAAAAATTAAGAAGAAAAGAAGATATATACTTATTTATTTATAGATTCTTTTTGCTAGCCCAGATGTATGTGAGCAGCAACATTTTTCAGCAGTTGCTTATATTCTATAGCAGCAAGTAATAAGGCACAAGAAAATGATTTGCTAAGTAGTAGGAGGAAAGGCCAAACTTGTTAAGGAAATAATGTTACTTTCAAGATTCTCAGGGGATATTAGAAACAATGGAGAGTAAAACAAATATTAGAATTGCATATAAAAGTACTTGACATAGAAAATGTCTATCAGCCCAAACTGCATTTCTGCAAAATGCTGTGATGTTGCTCTATTGGCATGAATACAAAAGGAAACAGGACTAAAAATGCCAGCTATTAATTTTATTGAGAACTCAAAGAACAGAAAAATGAATAGGTAAATTAAATTGTAATAAGAACTGAAGAAATGGCAATGCATTTATTTATTAAAGCCTGTTAAATAGCAGAACTTTTATAATTAAAGTGACTCCCCCTGCATCTAACAAGAGTGCAAATGCAGTGCCACTGCATGCAGTTTGTGTAAAAGTATTCATGGATATGCCATGCTCTTTATCCAGACTTTCCATATGGAAGCTTCCTACTTGTGTCTGTTAACACAGTTTCTACTTTTCTTCTCTTTCTGCAGGTTCTCTATTTTTATGCCACAGCTGCTGTAACTGCTCAGTAATGCTTCAGCCATGAGCTTCTACAAGGTCTCCTCTACGTGAGCAAACACTCTTGGAAACTATTTCTGGTAATGGGTGGGAACAGAGAACAATATGGTGGTGTCCTTTCTTTGAAGAGTTTGAACAATGAATGTGAAAATCAAGATTCAGATATGTGTGCTGTGCTTCTTTTAGGAATATTTTAATAACAGCTGTTCTTCTTTAAGGAATATTGTCCCATCCCCTGACAAAACAGAGGATTTCATCCCATCCTTCTCTGTTCACAAACTAACACTGTTGTCGTAAGTGTAAGTCTGTCTTTGCATGTAATTTCAGGCCTTAGAGTAAGGTGGGCAGGCAGTAGTGATGAGACTGCATTGTAGGGTTGGTCTGGGTTTTTGGATGTTTTTATTTTGTTGTTTGTTTTGTTTTGTGGGGTTGTTTGGAGTTTTTGGTCTTTCTTAGCCTTTAGTTATCAGGAGTCCAGAGCTGGTAAGTGAAGTAAGACAAGTGTCAGTTATCTCCTTTGCTCAGACTCAGGTTGATGCAGATGCCATGTTTTTGGTGTGAAGAGCAAGGGTTTACCACAGAGCTATCAAAGTATGACTAAGATGGAAGTGGGTAGGACATAGAAAGCAAGCTGCCCTCATCCCTGTACACCTTCCATTGGCCAGAGGTGTCAAGCTGCGTATGTGGCAGGGGTGACTGCACACCGTGAGATAACTTCCCAAAGTCAGAGAGTGCAGGGCAGAAAACTGACTTGCTGAGTTGCAATCTGCTTTTGGCAGAAAAGAAATACACAGCACCCCTTGCTCAGAGCAGATTGTACAGTTACCTTTTAGCCTTTTGCTAGTTGTTGACTGTGTTCGTTCTGTTCACGCTCCAATACAAGGACATTAGTTCACAACTTCCTTTAATGTTAAATACAGAAGTTTAAAAATAGAAGGCAGATGCGAGGGTTCCATAAATACATTATAATTAATCAATTATATAAAATATATCTACTATATAAAACATTATGAAAGGATTATTATAATACAGATGTCTTTCTGCAGAATCTTGGAGACTTGCATTTCCATTTTTTCTACAGGAGGTGGTCTGACTTTCAGGACAAATATTAGTCATTAATGGTAAGTTTTGTCATGGATATGATGGAATCATAGAATGGCTTGGGTGGAAGAAGGAAGCTTTAAAGATCATGTAATTCTAACCCCTCTGCCACGTACAGGGACACCTTTCACTAGATCAATTTGCTTAGGGCTCCATTCAACTTGTCTTTGAACACTTCCAGGGATGGGGCATCCACAACTTCTCTGGACAAGCCCTTCCAGTGTCTTACCACCCTCACAGCAAGGAATTTCTAAAACTACTCTCTTTTCAGTTTGAAACCATGTCTCCTTTTCGTCTTTTCCTGTCACTATGTGCTCTTGTGATGGAAGAATAATACGTATTTAAACCTACAGCAAAACTGTTTATTTAACATAGGTGGTTCCACAGTTTCTTTCTTTGAAGTTTGATTCTCTTTTTACTTGAATTGTTTTGTTGTTGTTAACTGCTGGCCTCTATTTGTTAATATATAAGCTGCTCTGTTTATTTACCTGTGAACTGCTTGGTAATTTATTTTGGATGTAGTATTATTTTTGTATTACATGTTGAGCCAAATACTGCTTGGCGATGAACTGCTTACACTGTTGGAATGAAGCTGACTACCCCAGCTGCAGTGTGGCTTGGAATTACTTCTTTTCTCTGACCAGTGCACATCAAAGAGAAGCAATGGCAATGGTGCACATGAGTTCGTTAGTTTTTGGCCCATGGTGCTTTTCAGGTTGTGACAGAGGGACAGTTACATAGGAAGTAACAGTGTAAACCCAGTTCTGTTTTTGAACACTGAATGCTTTTCTTATCTTTTTTTTTTTTTAATTGTATCCACTAAAAGGAGAAAATTATTGTTGTTTGGTGTGCTTTAAATCGACATCATCTGCTATTAAACAGCTACAGTGTTGCTTCAAAATTGAAGAAAACTGATGCCATTTTTAAACTGAGATGTTACATTCTGAGGAAAGAAATGGATAATTCATTTTATGAAACTCTTTCTCCTTGGGCTTCAATTTATGTTCAACTTGCATTCGCTTATGGCTGTGAGATGGAAGAGGAAGGAATGGCCATAAATGCTTTTGACAGTTGGGACAAAGGGTTGCAAGGGTGGGAGCAGGGGAAAACCTTCCTGGAACGAAGATGACATGCAAACCTAAAGCCTGAAGTGTCATCCATAGCTGATGGGATTATTATAGGTTTGGTTTGCCCTTTGCTGGGGCAGCTACCTCCTGCACCCTCAGGAAGGAACTGCAGCCCAATATTACCAAATCAGGGCCATGCTCTACTTGAACCGTGGTGTGCCTCCCCACATGCGGTGCATCTATAACCTGTGGCTTAGCCAAGATCCTATCTGTCAGCCAGTTTCCTGCTGCTCTGGGCCAAGAGTGAAAAAGGAGAATTTTTTGGCCTATGTGTTGGCAAATGGGTGCTGGTGTGCTGTACCCCAAATCTCAACACCTCCAAAGCTGACATGTGTATGGAGCTGCCCCTAAGCCTGGCCATGAGCTAAGCTATACACTCAGCTGCTTCCTCTAGCTTGTGATAATGAATTTTCATCACAGTGGAATTTAGAAAGGAATTGCTCTGATTCTAAAGCTCATTGGTTGCTAACAATAATAACAATAAAAAGAGCCATTTCTTAAGGACTAAAAACTAATCAGTGAATGTGTAGTTTCTGTGTCTCCTGCAGGTTCTTGTCTTGTGGGGCTGCCAGACCGCCTGAGTCATGTGACTGGCTGTCTGATTTCCGACTCAAGCTTTTCATTTCCTAAATGATAACGGATAAAAGATAAAATCTGGCACACACAGGTAATCTTTGCCATCTTAATATTTGTTAAGCTTTTTGATTTACTGAGAAGTTAAAGTCACTGCAGGTCACAAAACCTGCACATTAGATCTGCTTCATAAAACACTGTGAGTGAATGCTTTAGTCATTCATTTCACCATCTTTAAACCAATGTAGCTGAAGAATTGTACCTCCAATTTATAAATCTTTCAATTTATTTCTGATTCCAGTTTATAGGATGGGACTATATCCAGCTTTTCCCAGCCATTTGTGCATAGCTAGAGAAGAAATCTAACATATTTCTTGCATAATGGAGACTTGATCCAGCTTACATTTGTTAAATCATCCAAAAGGAAATATTCTCACTAGGAAACTTTTGCACACAGTTAACATATCCAATCTGACCTATGTTTTAAATTTCTGCTGTTCTTCTGCACATAATCTCTCTCTCCCTCCCCACCCTGATACACACACTCACCCCTTCATTCCATGAAAGAGAAATATGATTAACACAGTATCTCTGTCTCTGTTTTGCACATCTGCTCCCCACCCTTTTTCTGAAGGAGAGATACGATCCACAGAGAAATCAGAGATGATCTGAACCATTTTGGATACCTACTGCTATGGGACGTGTGGAGGCCCATCGGTAGCTCAGGTTTCACATCTGCCAGCTTTTCAGAGGATGTGATCAAGGGCAGAAATAAGTGCATGATGATGGTGATGATGGTACCATGGAAACTGGTGTGAAGGAAATGGGATCCCTCCTCCCGGAAACATGTGCCCCATAGCCCAAGTCAAGATCATTTGTATGTAGCAGTAAGGCTAACACAAAGGAAAGTATATTGTAAATAATTCATTATTTAAAAAAAGGGAGCCTATGTCTTTAAAATACAGCATCAGAGTTACAATCTACTTTAGATTTGGGCATGGTCTTTGACCTTGGAATGCTGACAGAGCAAAAAGGAGGGAAATGGATCAAAGAGTCTGTCAGACAAGGTGAGAGATACTGAGCTTGCCTCTGATTTCACACCAACATGCGGTGGTGTAACTCCATTGCCCTCTGTAGATTTATGCAAACATATGGAGAGAAAAACCTGCCCCAGAATGATTCAGTACCAAAATAGACCCTTCTTTTCTATGGCAATGCAAAAGCCTTACAGGAGGAACACACAGGGTTCCAAAGGGCAAAATTCTGGCTTGGATTAATACTACTTCCAGCCACCCCAATGCAGAAACTTCTCTCCAATTAGCTGACCTTGATGGATAAATTCCTCCTTTTGATCTTCCTCCAACCTTTCCCATATTCCATCTCTTCTTCTCCTTGATCCTCCGTATAAAGTCAGACTGTCCTTCCAACTGCGATCAGCAGAGCCTTTAGCCAGTGCATAGCTCACTCTCCAAGGACTCCTGATGCCAGGGGCTGCTTTCATTTTCTCTGCATATACTTTTCAACAAATTCAAAAGACCTTATTGGGAAAAGAATAAAATACATTTGTGTGTTGTGATGTATCTGCTAAACGGTGTATGCTTTTCCCCATGCAGTTCTCAAGGGACTTTTAGGCACGTTCTGTGGTCAGAGCACATGGAATTGCTCTGATATATTGTTTGCGTAGTGCAATATTTTTCTGAGTATCAGATCCTAAGAGAGAATTAGGAACACACATAGTTTTTGGAGACTTCCTGGGCTGAATGAGTTGTTTTCAGACTGCTGTGTTCAGAGTCTGGTTTTGCCCTTACAGTGCAAGGCAGGTAAGTGTTTGGCCCTCACAAAGAGGTTCAGAGCACTTCAGTGAAGTGCCTAGGCTCCCTCCCTTGCCAGTGCAGCTAAGAGAGAGCAATTCATCATGTGGCATCAGTCAGACACTTTGGGAAATTGGTTTTGGGATGAGGCATTCAGCCCAAAGTTCTTCATGTATCTGACTTGGTCTGATCAGCCAACTTTCTTTGGATACTGTGCAAACATCAACAAGTGGTAGGCTTCAAGTGCAAACTAGAAAACACTGCTTGAACTGTGAGAGTTTCAGCAGCTCACAACTCAGTCCTCCTCTTGTGGGAATGAGAATATTAATGGAAAACATATAGTCAGTGGTAGAGATAGGAACAGGCATCTGAGAGTCTCTAGCTTTCAGATTAGGACCTATGTGTCAGAAAAAAAATTTCATCTCTCTGGATGGGAAGAAGGAGGGAGTCAGACAGAAACTTCAAGAA